CAAAATAGGAAAAACGCCAAGGGGGATGAATACTTTTGCAAGGCACTGTACTCTACCTCAGGCGAGCAAAACCTAGAGACTTCCTTAATATTACAATATTACAATCCTACTCATGTCAAAGTTCTCCTTCCATAGTTCTGGATTAATCTAATAAAGGTAAATATATAGCTAGATCAATATGCCCTTTCAGATATGTCCATATTGGATATGTCCCTTTATGTTTGTGTAAGAAATGGACACAGGAAAGTATTAGACTCACTGACACTGTACATAAAAATGCGTAAGTTAGCTAAGTATTTGAATCTGATTCACATTCTTTGCAATATCCTCTCTAATATCTCCATTTTTTCCAGACACAGAATGGACTCAGCCCCAGCCCCAGCCCAGCAGCCCACCCTCACTGTTGAGCAGGCCAGATGTAAGAACAGTTGTCACATCATTTTGTCTTATCACTAATGCCCAATAGTGGCACAGATCTCTGTTGCAGTGGTGCTGAGTGAGGTCATCCAGGCCTTCTCTGTGCCAGAGAATTCAGCGCGGGTGGAGGAGGCACAGGAGAGCGCCTGCAACGACATGGGCAAGATGCTGCAGCTGGTGATCCCCGTGGCCACCCAGATCCAACAGGAGGTCATCAAGGCTTATGGCTTCAACAATGAGGGAGATGGTGAGGGATGCCACTTTGTGAAACCAGTTCCATACAGAATGAAGGTGTAGAGAGATAATCTATTGTCACTTGCCAGTGGCATTGTTTTGTGTGAAGACTGAACGCTATCTTTTTGCTTCATCATGTTCAGTTTGACCTATACTGAACAAAAATATAAATGCAACATGCAACAATTTCTAATATTGTACTGAGTTACAGTTCATATAAGGAAATCAGTCAATTGAAATAAATTCATTAGGCCCTAATCTATGGATTTCACTTGTTGGTCACAGATGCCTTAAAAATAAAAGGTAGAGGCGTGGATTAGAAAACCAGTCAGTATCTGGTGTGACCACCATTTGCCTCATGCAGCATGACACCTCCTTTGCATAGAGTTGATCAGGCTGTTGATTGTGGCCTGTGGAATGTTGTCCCACTCCTCTTCAAATGGCTGAAGTTGCTGGATATTTGTGGGAACGGGAACACGCTGTCGTACACGTCGATCCAGAGCATGCTCAATGGGTGACATGTCTGGTGAGTATGCAGGCCATGGAAGAACTGGGATATTTTCAGCTTCCAAGAATTGTGTACAGATCCTTGCGACATGGGGCCGTACATTATCATGCTGAAACATGAGGTGATGGCGGCGGATGAATGGCACGACAATGGGTCTCGTCACGGTATCTCTGTGCGTTCAAATTGCCATCAATAAAATGCAATTGTGTTCGTTGTCCGTAGCTAATGCCTGCCTATACCATAACCCCACCACCACCATAGGGGACTCTGTTCACAATGTTGACATCAGCAAACCGCTCGCCCACACAACGCCATACACGTGGTCTGCGGTTGTGAGGCCGGTTGGACATACTGCCAAATTCTCTAAAACAACGGAGGTGGCTTATTGTAGAGAAATGAACATTCAATTATCTGGCAACAGCTCTGGTGGAAGTTCCTGCGGTCAGCATGCCAATTGCAAGCACCCTCAATCTGTGGCATTGTGGTGTGACAAAACTGCACATTATAGAGTGGCCTTTTGTCCCCAGGACAAGGTGCACCTGTGTAATGATCATGCTGTTTAATCAGCTCCTTGATATGCCACACCTGTCAGGTGGAAGGATTATTTTGGCAAATGAGAAATGCTCACTAACAGGGATGTAAACAAATTTGTGCACAAAATGAGAGAAATAAGCTTTTTGTGCATATGGAGCATTTCTGGGATCTTTTATTTCAGCTCATGAAACATGGGACCAACACTTTACATGTTGCATTTATATTTTTGTTCAGTGTATTTGTGAAATCGTGGTGGTAAATCATAGTAGTCATTACTTGTTTTATAACTATTTTTCAGGTGTCCTTAAATTTGCCTGTCTGGTGAAGACGCATGAAACTCAGGATCCAGAGATATTAGCCATATCAGTCAAACTGAGGTCTCTTCTCCTGCCTCCTCTGTCCACTCCACCCATAGGTGGTGCAATCCCAGCCTCCTAGGAAACTATTTTGTGGATCACCTTGTTTTTCAGAAGGGACATCTAAATGTTACAAAGTACGTGGAAGCCTGGAATTCAGCTCATGATATGTTCATTCAGTCGTTGGTGAAAGTGAATTGGTCACCTTATTATTACTAATGTGCTGGGACAACACACATCACACCTTTATTGGTTGAAATGAAAACACTCAAACAACAAGCACTGACCAGGATGGACAAATTACATCCTTTAAAGCTCAGTTATTTTGCATTCCTGGATTTAAATGCAATACATTTGACAGCTAACTGTAAATCCATTGTTTATTCATATTTTCAGTATTTATTTATGTTTTTTACATTTTGCCATTTCATTTATACCATGAATTGCTGTTTGAGAGGACTGCATGAATTTGTGTTAAACTTTTTTTAAACGTTTTATAATGCTATTGTATAATGTCAATCTCAGTTGTCACAGCTAAATAAATGTATTCATATAAGAAAATACTAAAATTTTAGATATGTACTTTAAAAAAAAATATAACAGCAACACACCAAACAGATTAAAACAAACTTTATTATGGCAGTAAGGCTTTGGCAACTGTTTCTATCATTTCTCATTCAGTACCATTGTCACAGTAAAACTGTTTAGGGAGGGACCCCTGTGTCTCAATTTATACTTGACACATACTATACACATATACTATACACATATACACATATCTATATATATATATATACAGTGGGGGAAAAAAGTATTTAGTCAGCCTCCAATTGTGCAAGTTCTCCCACTTAAAAATGCTGAAAGACCCAGCCACGTTTCATCTTCAATGCCCTTGCTGATGGAAGGAGGTTTTCACTCAAAATCTCACGATACATGGCCCCATTCATTCTTTCCTTTACACGGATCAGTCGTCCTGGTCCCTTTGCAGAAAAACAGCCCCAAAGCATGATGTTTCCACCCCCATGCTTCACAGTAGGTATGGTGTTCTTTGGATGCAACTCAGCATTATTTGTCCTCCAAACACGACGAGTTGAGTTTTTACCAAAAAGTTATATTTTGGTTTCATCTGACCATATGACATTCTCCCAATCCTCTTCTAGATCATCCAAATGCACTCTAGCAAACTTCAGACGGGCCTGGACATGTACTGGCTTAAGCAGGGGGACACGTCTGGCACTGCAGGAATTGAGTCCCTGGCCGCGTAGTGTGCTACTGATGGTAGGCTTTGTTACTTTGGTCCCAGCTCTCTGCAGGTCATTCACTAGGTCCCCCCGTGTGGTTCTGGGATTTTTGCTCACCGTTCTTGTGATCATTTTGACCCCACGGGGTGAGATCTTGCGTGGAGCCCCAGATCGAGGGAGATTATCAGTGGTCTTGTATGTCTTCCATTTCCTAATAATTGCTCCCACAGTTGATTTCTTCAAACCAAGCTGCTTACCTATTGCAGATTCAGTCTTCCCAGCCTGGTGCAGGTCTACAATTTTGTTTTGACAGCTCTTTGGTCTTGGCCATAGTGGAGTTTGGAGTGTGACAGTTTGAGGTTGTGGACAGGTGTCTTTTATACTGATAACAAGTTCAAACAGGTGCCATTAATACAGGTAACGAGTGGAGGACAGAGGAGCCTCTTAAAGAAGAAGTTACAGGTCTGTGAGAGCCAGAAATCTTGCTTGTTTGTAGGTGACCAAATACTTATTTTCCACCATAATTTGCAAATAAATTCATAAAAAATCCTACAATGTGATTTTCTGGAAGAAAAATGCTCAATTTGTCTGTCATAGTTGACGTGTACCTATGATGAACATTACAGGCCTCTCATCTTTTTAAGTGGGAGAACTTGCACAATTGGTGGCTGACTAAATACTTTTTTCCCCCCACTGTACATATATATATATATATATATATATACCCACACTTATTTCTCACATTCTCCCTCAAATCACAAAGACAAGCAAACATTGTAGGATCCAGTACTTATATGGCCACATTGCTGCTCCTATTATCAGACAAAACCTCAAGACAGACCATTCCCATATTCCATAACAGGAGACAAGTCCCTCTGTTGGATAGTCCACCCTATGGCCCTTCTGTTTGCATACTACATTTCAAACATTTACTTAAAAATATTTTCTAACAAAACATACATTAAAAATATACTGTAACTAGTTAGACAGCACTGTATACACATTTCGTCAAAGGCAGTCGCTCTTGGTTGATCACAGTTGTGATGCGCTCAGTGCCATTGAATGAACTCATTCAAGTTGTCCGGCCCCTCTTTCTGCTTTGAGTTGGTGTATACAGACATTAAAATACTACTTCTGACTACATGAATATCACAACGGGATAGGGTTTTCTAAGGGTATAAAATCTAATACATGGGGAGAGCGTGTCCAAAACATTAATCTTCCAGTTAAAAACGTACGTGACAGACTTCATATTGTTGATAACAATTAAAAGGCATCCAAATAAGTGCACAACAGAGTGAACAGCAGTAGCACCCTAAGTGATAAACTTGGAAGTCATTGTTCATTTCTCCTGGTGTAAATAGTAACATCCTTCCCATATCCACAATTTCCTCATTTATGGTGGTCATTTCCAATGGCTCCTCATTCAGTGCAATCACAAAAACAGCTCTCAGCCTAAAACCCTCATGATCAGCACTCTCTGAAATCTAGATAGACCCAGTTCACAGTGCACCTGCAACCAATGGCCAGCAGCAGGAGCCTCTTTCCACAAAGAGTGAGGCTGAAGGAGAATTCCGTTCCAAACGTAGTCCTAAACCCCCTAGCGGTGCATCACTCAGAGTCCAGTTCATGATGTGACAAAAAGAACCAGACTGGTGGTGGCAGACCAGTTAGACGTAGAGTTTGGTATGGAACCCAGAAGGGAAATTACATCTCAAAGTGACGAAACATGCTTTCAACGTACCCCAGGACCCTCTGCCAGTCGGGCCCACCTGATCTCAGCATCTCCTCCACGGTCTGTCAATCAAACACAAACACTCTGTTGAAGAATAAGAAGTCCATACTCGCCGTCATGGACAAACTCTATTCTCATTCAAAGGTGACCACTGAGTACTACGCAAGGCTCCAATCAGAACTACAAACATCAGTGACACCTTACATTTGACTCACTAGTCAAGCTCCCTACCGTATGTTCACAACAGCTGTGTTCCATGTTCATGGTGACGTGTTAGTACAAGTTTATTCCCTAAGTAATATGCAGGTGAAAGTCCTGGTAGTTAGCCCAGTTAGTTTAAATGTGGGTCTCACCAGAGTGGCTGTGATTCCAACACTCTCCCCCGTCTGGAAGGCTAGGTCCAGGTTCTCACTCTGCACAAAACAAGTTTAGGACTTAACTGTAGGGTCAATATAGCAGTATGTGCTGCATGTGAATGGGTATGCATTCCTCTTACCTTGTCTCCTGTGCTGAGACTACTGTAGGGGATGTGTGTGGGGAGATAGGTGTGGTACACAGCACAGAAAGCCAGACCGTCCTCCCAACTGCTGCTGAAGTTGGTGATCTCAATATTCTGTAAAAACATGTTTTAATCAAAAGGTTTGTATGGACAGAATACAGACCAATGTTTGAAAAATATGAATGGTAAGCTTGCGTGGGTTATTCTAGAAAACGTTGCCACTTCTGACCTTATAGCCCTGGGTGCGGCTTTGACACCAACGCAGGAGTGAGTTCCGCCTGGAGCCTCCATGACTTCGTAGCAGCATGCTGAAACCATCCTGAGGTCTGGAAGGTGGATAACAGACCAACGTTATAGCTACGTAGATAGAAGGCTTTATTTGGGCATATTTCTCAAGCATCTCCAGAGTGCCGGTCCACTCGCCTGAATGAGGACAATGGGTCTGCGTTCTGGTCCTCCTCCTGTTTTTCTGTCAGACATTAGCAATTAGTCAAGAGCCCAGTAACTTTCATGCGGAAGACATTTCAGCTGAATGCATTCAGTTGTACAACTGACTAGATAAAAAGAAAGCAGTTGTGGAATAACTCTTTTACAGTGCCTTCAGAAAGTATTATATTGACTTATTCCACATTTTGTTGTGTTACAGCCTGAATTCTAAATGGATTAAGTAGATTTCTCTCTCACCCATCTACACATACACTACCCCATAATGACAAAGTGAAAACATGTTAAGATTCTTTGCAAATGTATTGAAAAAGAAATATCTCATTTACATTTTAGTGATTTAATCAGACACTCTTATCCAGAGTGACTTACAGGAGCAATTAGGTTTAAGTGCCTTGCTCAAGGGCACATAAACAGATTCTTCACTAGTCGCCTCGGGTACCTTTCGGTTACTGGCCCAACACTCTTAACCGCTACGCTATCTGCCACCCATAGGTATTTACATATGTATTCACACCCTTGAGTCAATAATTTGTAGAAGCACCTTTGGTGGCGATTACAGCTTTGAGTCGTCTTGGGTATGTCTGTATCAGCTTTGCACATCTGGATTTGGGGACTTTCTCCCATTCTTCCTTGCAGATTTTTTTTTGCTCTGGTAAATTAGATGGGGCGCAGCAGTGAACAGCAATCTTCAAGTCTTTCCACAGATTTTCAATGGGATTCAAGTCTGGGCTTTGGCTGGGCCACTCAAGGACTTTCATATTCTTATTCTGAAGCCATTCCAGCGTTGCTTTGGCTGTATGCTTGGGGTCATTGTCCTGTTGGAACATACATCTTTGCCCCAGTCTAAGGTCATTTGCACTCTGAAGCAGGTTCTCATCAAGGATTTGCCTGAATTTGGCTCCATTCATTGTTCCCTCTATCCTTACCAGTCTCCCAATCTTCATAGCAGGGATGGTGTTAGACGGGTGATGAGCTGTGCCTGATTTTCTCCAGACATAGCGCCTTGCATTCAGGCTTCCATTTTTGTGTCATTAGACAACAGAATCTTTTGCCTTATGCTCGGAGTCTTTCACATGCCTTTTTGCAAACTCCAGGTGTGCTGTCATGTGCCTTTTTCTCAGGATTGGCTTCCGTCAGGCCACTCTCCCATAAAGCCCAGATTGTTGAAGTGCTGTAGTGACTGTTGGGTTCTCCCATCTCAGACAAGGAACTCTGTAGTTCTGTCAGTAGTCATTGGGTTCTTGGTCACCTCCCTGACCAAGGTCCTTCTTGGCCGGTTGCTCAGTTTGGTCGGACGGCCAGCTCTAGGCAGAGTCTGGGTAGTTCCATCTTTTTTCAATTTCCCAATGATGTAGACCACCGTGCTCTTGGAAACTTTCAATACTCTAGAAATTGTTTTATATCCTTCCACAGATATATGCCTCATCACAGTTCTATCTCGGAGATCTACGGACAGTTCCTTGGACTTCATGGTATAGTTTCTGCTCTGACATGCACTGTCGATTGGGGACCTTATATAGACAGGCGTGTTTCTTTCTAAATCATGTCCAAACAATTGAATTGGCCACAGGTGGACTCCAATCAAGTTGTAGTGACATCTCAAGGATGATCAAAGGACATTTGATGCACTGGAGCTCAATTTGGAGTGTCATAGCAAAGGGGTGTGAATACTTCTGTAAACTAGATGATAATAATAATAATAATAATAATAATAATAATAATAATATGCCATTTAGCAGACGCTTTTATCCAAAGCGACTTAGTCATGCGTGCATACATTTTTGTGTATGGGTGGTCCCGGGGATCGAACCCACTACCTTGGCGTTACAAGCGCCGTGCTCTACCAGCTGAGCTACAGAGGACCACGTGATATTTCTGTATTTAATTTTCAATACATTTGCAAACATTTCTAAAAACATGTTTTCACTTTGTCATTATGGGGTATTGTGTAGATGGGTGAGAGAAAAAAATACATGTGGAATAAGTCAATGGGTATGAATACATTCTGAAGGCACTGTAGTTAATGAATGAACAGACACACACTTGTATAGAAGCTGGACCAGCTGTCCTGTCGTTGCAGTATGCGGTCCATCCTTCTCCCTTTGGCTGGCTCTTCTTTCTGGTAAGACATCGAGAGAAGAGACAGACAGGACATCTCACATACATCCATGACTGATCCCAAAATGGACCCTTGAATTTCAAGTCCAGGCTTTCTGATACCATTACAAAAACACATTTGTTGGTTGAATATTAGTGTTACCTTGCATAGAGGCAGTGTTGTACTAGTAGTGGTCTGGGAGCTACCATTCTGTGCAGGGAGAGTGTCAGTGGGCAGGGGAAGTCGAGAGAGGCTCCTGGAACAGATAAGATAGGATTTAGTTGCCACAGATAAAGGTAGGATACGTGTGTCTATAGCATGGCCTTGCGCAACAAGGTCAAGGGTTGCTCCTATAGAGACACAGGCTAGCTTACATGCTCCAGATAACAACAAACAGATGCTCCACCTCCAAAGTGCTAGTGCATCATACGGGCATGATGAGGCACTCACCTGGAACGCTCTGACATCATCACAATCCTCTGTGGATCTCTCAAGTTGCACCCCATCTCCCCGGCCGCCAAATTCCGTAGGTACGCCTCCGCCACCCCCTTCACTTTGAGCAGGTTCTCCCCTCCTCTAACAAGCTCCTCAGGAGACTGCCCTCCCATGTTGACATCCTCTCCCTCACTCTTCACCATTTTCTCTCCTTCCACTTCTCTTTCTGAATCCTTTATTTTCTTCCCATCCAGCGCCTCCATCGTGCTTATGTCTTCACTAGTGTCTTCTCCAAACGTCCTCTCCTCCGTGTCTCTTCCCTCCATCTCTCGGTGTGAGTCCTTCTCTCTTTCCCTCAGTGAGTCCCTCTCTCTCTCCCCGAGTGTGTGTCTCAGTGTGTCCAGCTCAGCCCTGGTCTGTTGGTGCTCCAGGGTGAGAGCAGACAGTCTCAGTGTGTCCAGCTCAGCCCTGGTCTGTTGGTGCTCCAGGGTGAGAGCAGACAGTCTCAGTGTGTCCAGCTCAGCCCTGGTCTGTTGGTGCTCCAGGGTGAGAGCAGACAGTCTCAGTGTGTCCAGCTCAGCCCTGGTCTGTTGGTGCTCCAGGGTGAGAGCAGACAGTCTCAGTGTGTCCAGCTCAGCCCTGGTCTGTTGGTGCTCCAGGGTGAGAGCAGACAGTCTGTGACAGGCCTCTCTGTGTTCAGTTCTCAAGCTCTCCATCTCCCTGTCCGTGTCCTGCTGTCTGCACTGGACCTGGTCCAGCTGGCCCTCCACGTTCCCGTGGCTCTCTCTGAGCATGCCCATAGTCTCCTCCGCTTCCACGCGCAGCCGGTCGGCCACAGACACTGCCACCTGTAGATCGCACTGGAACTGGTGCCACTCAGCTCGCTCAGTCTGCCAGAGAGTGTGTGTGTGTGTGTGTGTGTGTGTGTGTATGTAAATATATACAGTGAGGGAAAAAAGTATTTGATCCCCTGCTGATTTTGTACGTTTGCCCACTGACAAAGAAATGATCAGTCTATAATTTTAATGGTAGGTTTATTTGAACAGTGAGAGACAGAATAACAACAACAAAAATCCAGAAAAACGCATGTAAAAAATGTTATAAATTGATTTGCATTTTAATGAGGGAAATAAGTATTTGACCCCCTCTCAATCAGAAAGATTTCTGGCTCCCAGGTGTCTTTTATACAGGTAACAAACTGAGATTAGGAGCACACTCTTAAAGGGAGTGCTCCTAATCTCAGCTTGTTACCTGTATAAAAGACACCTGTCCACAGAAGCAATCAATCAATCAATCAGATTCCAAACTCTCCACCATGGCCAAGACCAAAGAGCTCTCCAAGGATGTCAGGGACAAGATTGTAGACCTACACAAGGCTGGAATGGGCTACAAGACCATCGCCAAGCAGCTTGGTGAGAAGGTGACAACAGTTGGTGCGATTATTCGCAAATGGACGAAACACAAAGGAACTGTCAATCTCCCTCAGCCTGTGGCTCCATGCAAGATCTCACCTCTGGAGTTGCAATGATCATGAGAATGGTGAGGAATCAGCCCAGAACTACACAGGACGATCTTGTCAATGATCTCAAGGCAGCTGGGACCAGTCACCAAGAAAACAATTGGTAACACACTACGCCGTGAAGGACTGAAATCCTGCAGCACCCGCAAGGTCCCCCTGCTCAAGAAAGCACATATACAGGGCCGTCTGAAGTTTGCCAAAGAACATCTGAATGATTCAGAGGAGAACTGGGTGGAAGTGTTGTGGTCAGATGAGACCAAAATCAAGCTCTTTGGCATCAACTCAACTCGCTGTGTTTGGAGGAGGAGGAATGCTGCCTATGACCCCAAGAACACCATCCCCACCGTCAAACATGGAGGTGGAAACATTATGCTTTGGGGGTGTTTTTCTGCTAAGGGGACAGGACAACTTCACCGCATCAAAGGGACGATGGATGGGGCCATGTACCGTCAAATCTTGGGTGAGAACCTCCTTCCCTCAGCCAGAACATTGAAAATGGGTCATGGATGGGTATTCCAGCATGACAATGACCCAAAACACACGGCCAAGGCAACAAAGGAGTGGCTCAAGAAGAAGCACATTAAGGTCCTGGAGTGGCCTAGCCAGTCTCCAGACCTTAATCCCATAGAAAATCTGTGGAGGGAGCTGAAGGTTCGAATTGCCAAACGTCAGCCTCGAAACCTTAATGACTTGGAGAAGATCTGCAAAGAGGAGTGGAACAATATCCCTCCTGAGATGTGTGAAAACCTGGTGGCCAACTACAAGAAACGTCTGACCTCTGTGATTGCCAACAAGGGTTTTGCCACCAAGTACTAAGTCATGTTTTGCAGAGGGGTCAAATACTTATTTCCCTCATTAAAATGCAAATCAATTTATAACATTTTTGTCATTCGTTTTTCTAAATATTTTTGTTGTTATTCTGTCTCTCACTGTACAAATAAACCTACCATTAAAATTATAGACTGATCATGTCTTTGTCAGTGGGCTAACGTACAAAATCAGCAAGGGATCAAATACTTTTTTCCCCTCACTGTATATGTACATTTGCCCACTGACAAATAAATGATCAGTCTATAATTTTAATGGTAGGTTTATTTGAAAAGTGAGAGTTCATATAAGGAATCCAGAAAAACGCATGTCAAAAATGTTATAAATTGATTTGCATTTTAATGAGGGAAATAAGTATTTGACCCCTCTGCAAAACATGACTTAGTACTTGGTGGCAAAACCCTTGTTGGCAATCACAGAGGTCAGACGTTTCTTGTAGTTGGCCACCAGGTTTTCACACATCTCAGGAGGGATATTGTTCCACTCCTCTTTGCAGATCTTCTCCAAGTCATTAAGGTTTCGAGGCTGACATTTGGCAATTCGAACCTTCAGCTCCCTCCACAGATTTTCTATGGGATTAAGGTCTGGAGACTGGCTAGGCCACTCCAGGACCTTAATGTGCTTCTTCTTGAGCTACTCCATTGTTGCCTTGGCCGTGTGTTTTGGGTCATTGTCATGCTGGAATACCCATCCACGACCCATTTTCAATGCCCTGGCTGAGGGAAGGAGGTTCTCACCCAAGATTTGACGGTACATGGCCCCGTCCATCGTCCCTTTGATGCGGTGAAGTTGTCCTGTCCCCTTAGCAGAAAAACATCCCCAAAGCATAATGTTTCCACCTCCATGTTTGACGTTGGGGATGGTGTTCTTGGGGTCATAGGCAGCATTCCTCCTCCTCCAAACACGGCGAGTTGAGTTGATGCCAAAGAGCTCCATTTTGGTCTCATCTGACCACAACACTTTCACCCAGTTCTCCTCTGAATCATTCAGATGTTCATTGGTAAACTTCAGACGGGCATGTATATGTGCTTTCTTGAGCAGGGGGACCTTGCGGGCGCTGCAGGATTTCAGTCATTCACAGCGTAGTGTGTTACCAATTGTTTTCTTGGTGACTATGGTCCCAGCTGCCTTGAGATCATTGACAAGATCCTCCCGTGTAGTTCTGGGCTGATTCCTCACCGTTGTCATGATCATTGCAACTCCACAAGGTGAGATCTTGCATGGAGCCCCAGGCCGAGGGAGATTGAAAGTCCTTTTGTGTTTCTTCCATTTGCGAATAATCGCACCAACTGTTGTCACCTTCTCACCAAGCTGCTTGGCGATGGTCTTGTAGCCCATTCCAGCCTTGTGTAGGTCTACAATCTTGTCCCTGACATCCTTGGAGAGCTCTTTGGTCTTGGCCATGGTGGAGAGTTTGGAATCGGATTGATTGATTGCTTCTGTGGACAGGTGTCTTTTATACAGGTAACAAACTGAGATTAGGAGCACTCCCTTTAAGAGTGTGCTCCTAATCTCAGCTCGTTACCTGTATAAAAGACACCTGGGAGCCAGAAATCTTTCTGATTGAAAGGGGGTCAAATACTTATTTCCCTCATTCAAATGCAAATCGATTTATAACATTTTTGACATGCGTTTTTCTGGATTTTTGTTGTTGTTATTCTGTCTCTCACTGTTCAAATAAACCTACCATTAAAATTATAGACTGATAATTTCTTTGTCAGTGGGCAAACGTACAAAATCAGCAGGGGATCAAATACTTTTTTCCCTCACTGTGTGTGTGTGTGTGTGTGTGTATATATGTATATATATATATACATATATACATATACATACATATACATATATATATATATATATATATATATATATATATACACACACACACATATATATATTATATTATATTAATTAGATAGTTAAAGATCCTGTACACTCAAACCAGAACCATATCAGAATATAAGAGTGTGTTAACTCATTGCATCAGAAAAATATAAATCATAAAGAAGAGACAGGGGAAAAGGTGAGAAGTAGAAGTATCATTTTACATCCCGGCCAGCAGACAGACATGCATGCATACGGTCACTGTCTTAGAAAATCAATAGTTCTATTGACACGGTCTACAGAAAACGTGTATGATAAGCAGGGACTTTGCTTTGGTCAATAGGTTACCAAGTTCAGAACCTGTTTTAGCTAAGCTAGCCAACCCAGTTCAGGTGAACACTTCAACAAGATATGCCAGGAATGCCTTCAATGTTCCTTGTGTACAGTTAATGACAGTAATCTAGAGCTAGAGGGAGAATCTCCCATATGGCAGGGCCATCACACTGCTCACTGGCTCAAGTCGACTAGTTGTTGCACCATGTTTGCAGATGGTGGAGGCCAACAGCGACACATATTCTCTAACAGAACAGGAAAGTCAAACCACATCACATTTTTTCAACACTGATAAGCGTGCTTAGGTTAGCACAAATATTTCAATGTAGGTAGTAAGTGCAATGTTCAGGCTAGTTGCAAGGTTTGTGGAAGGAAGGGTTTCTCAATATTTGTGCTAACCTAAGCAAGCTTATCAGTGGTTCAAACATGTGATGAGGCTTTGACTTTTTTTCTACGATGTTCGGTTAGACAATATGTATCGCCGTTGCCCTCCACAATCTGCAAACATGGTGCAACAACTAGTCTACATGAGCCAATGATAAGCAGTGTGAAGTCTAAAATAGCTCACATGGTACAGTACAGGGTAGAGAAGGGAAAAAGCAATCCACATCAAAGTAATAGGGATGGATTTGTGTCTGTGTGTCCTCCTCTATGCCCATCTCTGCAGTGACAGAGAGGGAGGGAAGAGAAGGAGGAGCGTTTGACTCACCCTCAGTGTGTCCTTCAGGTTGCGAACCTCCTCGACCAGCTCCTTTCTCTCCACCAGCAACCGCCTTAGCAGCTCTGACACACAAGCACACATACAGTGCCTTCAGAACGTATTCACACCCCTTGACTTTTTCCACATTTTGTTGTGTTACAGCATGAATTTAAAAATGGATTAAATCGAGATTTATTGTCACTGGCCTACACACAATACCCCATAATGTCAAGGTGGAATTATGTTTTTTGAAATGTAACAAATTAACAAAAAATGATAAGCTGAAATGTATTGAGTCAATAAGTAGTCGACCCCTTTGTTATGGCAAGCATAAATACGTTCAGGAGTAAAAATGTGCTTCACAAGTCACAAGTTGCATGGACTCACTCTGTGTGCAATAATTGTGTTTAACATGATTTTTGAATGACTACATCTCTGTACCCCACACATACAATTATCTGTAAGGTCCCTCAGTCAAGCAGGGAATTTCAAACACAGATTAAACCACAAAGACCAGGGAGGTTTTCCAATGCCTCTAAAAGAAGGGCACCTATTGGTAAATGGGTAACAATAAAAAAAGCAGACATTGAATATCTCTTTGAGCATGGTGAAGTTATTAACTACACTGTGGATGGTGTATCAATACACCCAGTCACTACAAAGACACAGGCGTCCTTCCTAACTCAGTTGCCGGAGAGGAAGGAAACCGCTCAGGGATTTCAGGGAGGCCAATGGTGACTTTAAAACAGTTAAGAGTTTAATGGCTGAGATAGGAGAAAACTGAGGATGGATCAACAACATTGTACACTGAACAAAAATATAAACGCAACATGTAAAGTGTTGGTCCCATATTTTATGAGCTGAAATAAAAGATCCCAGCTGATTAAACAGCATGATCATTACACAGGTGCACCTTGTGCTGGGGACAATAACAGGTAACTCTAAAATGTACAGTTGTGTCACACAACACAATGCCACAGATGTCTCAAGTTTTGAAAGAGCATGCAATTGGCATACTGACTGCAGGAATATCCACTAGAGCTGTTGCCAGATAACTTAATGTTCATTTCTCTACCAATGTTGTTTTAGAGAATTTGGCAGTACGTCCAACCGGCCTCACAACCGCAGACCACGTGTATGGCGTCGTGTGGGCGAGCGGTTTGCTGATGTCAACGTTGGTGGCGGTGGGGTTATGGTATGGGCAGGCATAAGCTACGGACAACGAACACAATTGCATTTTATCGATGTCAATTTCAATGCACAGAGATACCGTGATGAGATCCTGAGGTCCATTTTTTCTAAGGTATGTGACCAACAGATGCATATCTGTATTCCCAGTCATGTGAAATCCATAGATTAGGGCCTATGATTGTTTTTAAATTGATTGATGTCCTTATATGAACTGTAACTCAGTAACATCTTTGAAATTGTTACATGTTGCGTTTATATTTTTTGTTCAGCATAGTTACTTCACAATACTAACCTAATTGAGAGAGTAAAAAGTAGGAAGCCTGTACAGAATAAAACTATTCCAAAACATGCATCCTGTTTGCAACAAGGCACTAAAGTAATACTGCAAAAAAAGTGTGGCTAAACAATTAACTTTTTGTCCTGATTACAAAGTGTTTTGTTTGGGGCAAATCCAATAAATTATTGAGTACCAGTCTTCATATTTTCAAGCATAGTGGTGGCTGCATCATGTTATGGGTATGCTTATAATCGTTAAGGACTGATGAGTTTCAGGATAAAAAATAAACTGAATGGCGCTCAGCACAGGCAAAATCTTAAGAGGAAAACCTGGTTTAGCCTGCTTTTCACCAGACACTGGGAGATGGATTTACCTTTCAGCAGGACAGTAACCTAAAACACAAGGCCAAGTCTACACTGGAGTTTCTTACCAAGAAGACAATGAATGGTCCTGAGTGGCCGAGTTACAGTTTTGACTTAAATCTATACTGAACAAAAAATATAACCGCAATATGCAACAATTTCAAAGGTTTTACTGAGTTACAGTTCATATAAGGAAATCAGTCAACTGAAAAACAATCATAGGCCCTAATCTATGGATTTCATATGACTGGGAATACAGATATGCATCTGTTGGTCACATACCTTAGAAAAAATGGACCTCAGGATCTCATCACGGTATCTCTGTGCATTCAAATTGACATCGATAAAATGCAATTGTGTTCGTTGTCCATAGCTTATGCCTGCCCATACCATAACCCCACCGCCACCAACGTTGACATCAGCAAACCGTTCGCCCACACGACGCCATACACATGGTCTGCGGTTGTGTGGCCGGTTGGACGTACTGCCAAATTCTCTAAAACGACATTGGTAGAGAAATTAACATGAAATCTCGGGCAACAGGTCTGGTGGACATTTCTGTGTTCATTATGCCAATTGCATGCTCCCTCAAAACTTGAGACATCTGTGGCATTGTGCTGTGTGACAAAACTGCACATTTTAGAGTGGCCTTTTATTGTCCCCAGCACGAGGTGCATCTGTCTAATGATCATGCTGTTTAATCAGCTTCTTGATATGCCACACTTGTCAGGTGGATGGATTATCTTGACAAATGATAAAATGCTCACTAACAGGGATGTTAACAAATTTGTGCACAAAATCTGAGAGAAATAAGCTTTTTGTGCATATGGAACATTTCTGGGATTTTTTTTCTGCTCATGAAACATGGGACCAACCCTTTACATTTCGCATTTATATTTTTGTTCTGTATACTTCTGAAAATGGTTGTCTAGCAATGATCAACAACCAATTTGACAGAGCTTGAAGAATTTTGAAAATAATAATGGGCAAATGTTGCACAATCCAGGTGTGGAAAGCTCTTAGAGACTTACCCAGAAAGACTCACATCTGTAATCACTGCCAAAGGTGCTTATACAAAGTATTGACTCAGGGGGTGAATACATGTAAATTAGCTATTTCTGCATTTCATTTTCAATAAATTTGTAAAAATTTCTAAAAACATGTTTTCACTTTTTGTCATTATGGGGTACTGTGTGTAGATGGATGAGGGGGAAAAAAATCAATTTAATCAATTTTCAGTTCGGGCTGTAACAAAATGTGGAATAAGTCAAGGGGTATGAATACTTTCTGAAGGCCCTGTACATACTGTAAGAACATGCACGCACACTCTGTTAAGTAGAGACAAGACAAACATAAACAAACCATTATGAACCGATTGGGTTGCTATGGCCACGCGGATGCGGAGCCCTTACCGGCTGCTCCTGCTGGTGCGTTCAGGCCCGGACTGAGCCCCACTGCAGACCTGTGATGTTCCAGAAGGCTGAACAGAGCCAGGGCCATCTCCTCCCCAGCCCGCTCTGGCGCTGCATGGGGCTCCATCCCACTGTCCCGCTCCTGCCAGCTATGCTCCAAAGAGCTACCCTCAAACTGAGGCCCCTGGCCTGGGGACACAGGGCTGCTGTTGTGGCTTTTGTGGCTGCTAGAGCGCTGCACCGTTCGCCTTGAACCTTCCATCTCAATTCCAGTCCCCGGCGGAGACGCACTGCTCTCTACGCTAATCACGGCCCATTCTGGGGGGACGGACAGTGTGTGGCTCCAATTGGAGATGGGGGAGGCTCCACCCTGGCAGACGATGCCCCGGGTGGCCCCGGAGGACAGTGTCCCCTGCTGCAGCAGCTGAGATACGGCTGGAGCCAAGTCAGAATCAGAGGGGGAAGAGGGAGGAGTTTGGAACAGATCTAAATGAGACCCTGGAGAGAGAACAAGGTAGAGAGAGAACAAGGTGGAGAGAGAACAAGGTGGAGAGAGAACAAGGTGGAGAGAGAACAAGGTGGAGAGAGAACAAGGTAGAGAGAGAACAAGGTAGAGAGAGAACAAGGTGGAGAGAGAACAAGGTGGAGAGAGAACAAGGTGGAGAGAGAACAAGGTAGAGAGAGAACAAGGTAGAGAGAGAACAAGGTAGAGAGAGAACAAGGTAGAGAGAGGAGGATTAGAGGAGGATTAGAGAAAGATGAGATAGGGGAAAAGAAGAGGAAGGAAGAGATGGAGGGAACATTTACATTTTAGTCATTTAGCAGACACTCTTATCCAGAGCGACTTACAGTTGGTGAGTGCATACATTTTCATACTGGCCCCCCGTGGGAATCGAACCCACAACCCTGGCGTTGAAAACGCCATGCTCTACCAACTGAGCTACACAGGGCTCAGCTGGGAAGAGGAGGATAAGAAAAGCGGAGAGAGAAGTGCTGTCCTAAGCTATTTTCTGTCTATAAAAACAATACAGAAGATCACAGTTGGCTGTGGCTATAGGAGGATGCCAGTTGGCTGTGGCTATAGGAGGATGCCAGTTGGCTGTGGCTATAGGAGGATGCCAGTTGGCTGTGGCTATAGGAGGATGCCAGTTGGCTGTGGCTATAGGAGGATGCCAGTTGGCTGTGGCTATAGGAGGATGCCAGTTGGCTGTGGCTATAGGAGGATGCCAGTTGGCTGTGGCTATAGGAGGATGCCAGTTGACTGTGGCTATAGGAGGATGCCAGTTGGCTGTGGCTATAGGAGGATGCCAGTTGACTGTGGCTATAGGAGGATGCCAGTTGGCTGTGGCTATAGGAGGATGCCAGTTGGCTGTGGCTATAGGAGGATGCCAGTTGGCTGTGGCTATAGGAGGATGCCAGTTGGCTGTGGCTATAGGAGGATGCCAGTTGGCTGTGGCTATAGGAGGATGCTAGCAGCCAATTGATTAACATGGGAAACCCATACACTATGTTTATTCTCTAGTGTGCATTCACAGACACACACAGGTCCATAAGGACGTGTGCTTTGCCAGCCTCTAGCGTCTCATGTTCCCCCTCCCTGTCCTTGCATTAGGCAGCAGAATTCTGCAGACTCCTCATTCAGCAACAGGGCCTGATGTATTGCGTGTGACTGGCGGTGCACACACAGTATCCAGGGAGATATTCTCACCCCAGTCTGAGTCTGTTACCTGCATACTGAGAACAGCTAGAAAGGATAGGAATGGCCAGGCTTTTAAACAGGTGTGCAGGGGGGAGTGAAGACGATGCATGTAGGATGCATGACGTTCAACATCAAAGCCAGCAATAACACAACAGAGAACTGAAAAACCCAGCTAGACAGATCGAAGCGGGATAAAGATAATTAACAAATTGTTTTAGAGTACAAACAGCTTGAAAGGAAATATTGTAGACAGATGCTCTCTCTCATTCACTCACACAAACACACATTGGAATGTTAGAGAAAGCAGTTAAGGGGTAATTAGGTCATTTAATCAGAAACAACGTCCTGTGTCTGTGGGAATCAGGAACAGAATGTTCTAAACAGAGTTACTGTCAGAGACTCTAATATAATGAAATGTGACAATGACTGTTAGGCAAGCATTCATGTGTGACACAAATTATGTAACCGGTGTGTGTATGTTCATGTAGGGAACCTGTAGGGCCATGGCCGTCCTTTCCACCGACGTTACCCATGATGCAGCAGGTGCAGGGAGGAAGCAGTGTGACTGTGTGTCCCAGCGCCCCTCACTCTCCCCTCTGGTGCGCTCTCTTAGGTCCACCAGAGTGGATAGGGCATAATACACCTAGAAGTACAGAGAAAGCTCAGACCATTAATATTTTAACACAAATATAGCTAACACTACTAAATTCCCCTTTAATAGAGTTGGTACCCTCTGACTAGTGGCAAACGAGTATTTTCATTTTAGTCATGGGGAGTAATGACTCATACTTCAAATGTTGCAAGGTAATTGAGCAGGGATGACTGCTGGTATATGTGCATCTCCCTGCAGGATGTTCACCGCCATCGTGCCTGACTCCCCACATCCAGTGTAGCATTAGATTAATAACACAAGTAGGTGATGGAGAGAGAGAACCTGACAGTCCCCAGGGTTTAATGTTGAATTAATAAATTGTTTAAATTGATTAGGCCAGCCTGATCAATAGAAAGGCAGCTGCTTAGTTTTCTCCACTGACGTGTGTGTTCTTGCAGAAAAAAAATACCTTCTGAATACTAGTGTCTAATAATTGTAAGGCATGGTAATAAGGCTAAAGCAAAACTGAACATTTATAGACATTACACAGCAGATCCTAATAAAAGAATCCCTGTGATATACAGTTTCACCAGTTACCAATGCCATAGACTCGGTTCTGTACAAGGTAGGCTAGAAAATCAAGAGAGATACAATAGAAATCCACGAAATGCACATACTATCTCCTCTGCACACAAAACACATCACCGTGCGAGCTATTAGAATCAGACAAACACTGTATGCTCTTGTAATCAACCACCCACCTTGATATATATATTCCCACGACCACGTAGACTACTGCCCGATAAATATATACAATATATATATATACTGCTGCAGTCTCTTTTCACCTTTCCTCCTCGCCGCATTTCTCTCCGTTTTCCACTTTTCTTGTATCTTCAATAATCTGAGACAGGTTTGCGGGGGGCTGTTTCCTGCTGTTGAAACGTGTGTAGTATGAGCGTTACAAGAGCCGCCAACGATAATTGTGGGACCTGCTTGGAAGAAACTCAACTCTACGATGCGGAAAACTGCGAGACGGAAGGAGGGACGGACTGTGCTACGCCGCTCCGTGAAACCGTTGGAGGCAAGGTGGCCAGCCTACTGTCCTACTGCGAGAAGTTGTATCCCAGAGCACTGGATATATTCCACTGAAAATGTGTATATAAAATGCTCCAAGTTCAGGTGTTGAGCGAGGAGAACATCATGAATTTTGATTAAATGCAAATTGAAAATGACATGCACGGATGCCTGGGATACATCCGTAAGCTACAGCTTGGGAAGTTCAGACGCAATTATCATTTGGCAGAGAAGGTAGCCTAAACATATTTAATAGAATAACTATTTTTTCCAGAAGAAAGTTCAGTTTTTCTTCAGGAAATTCTCTAAGTATTTTAGATCAGCGATCAACAAGGGGGCCTATAGGATTCCTGGGGGCCTCAGAGAACTTTCAGGGGTTCCCTGACTATATATCTCCACTTAGACCAACCAGCCGGCAGATGGCGTCATTATTCCTTTTACGTCGTTTATCACTGCGTTCAACAGGAATGTTTGCAGCCGGCTATACGCTCGTCCCCGGCGAACGCCTCCTACATAAAACATCTGTAACGCTTTGAACACACTGACAGTGTCTTGCGCAAAATAGTATGCAGCATCATCTAGATATGTGTGCAACATTCACCTTCTGCTACCATTTCTGTCAACCCGTTAACACATACAGTTTGACGCATACTTTCGATAAATCAAATTTATGCACCACACAACGTACTGCAACTGCCTCTGCAACGCAATGCTGCAAGGCAAACGCAGCGTTCCAATTGAAATGAGTGTACTTCTGGTGTACCAAAACGCAATGACACAGTCGGTGTTCAAAGCGTAACGCTTTGTGAAATAAATTAATAACGTAAGTCCAACTGACTTAATTTAGTGAATGGGGTGGTTTTCCCCATCTAGGTTGGGGTAGCCTATCTGTTAAAGGAGCATGATGCTACATTTTCACATTGGAAAAGCCTATGTATGATTGTGCGGAATAGCACATGGAGTTTTCATGAACACCAAAAACACCTAGTGCAAGATTAATAAACACAATATTATTATTGAAATAAATCAATTGTGCTCCTCTCACTACAAGCCACCTGGTGGTGGGTGCTGTCTGCCCATGGTGCTGAGGTAAAGAGTAGAGAGGATGAATGCTGACTAGATCTATAGCTGGATAGTGGTAGGAACTTATGACTATTCCAGACTTTAACTTTAACGCCAAAATAACACTATTGCTTTAGCCATACTATCATAGAGTAAGGATTTCAGAACAAAATGCAACTTTGAATTTGTAACAAAGTTCATGTCGGTTACCCCTATTCAATCCTCTCAGATCTACACTAGTGCCTAGGGCCTCATTTGGGATTCTCACAGGACCTGGGTACAAGGCTACAGAGGGATGCTATTAGCAGTTCTTGAAAAACATCCAGCTCTACGACCAGGAAAGTTATGGCAGTCACCCAAAGTTACATGGCCAAATTTGTCAACACAAGGTTTGACATTTGTAAGTGCCAAACATTTAGTACACTCTTAAGAAAAAACGAAAAAGGGTTATATCGCTTGCTTCATAAGTGACTCTCCTAAAAGGTTTTATATAGAATCCCCAAAACCCTTTTCTTGAATCATGAAGCTCCCAGAACTCCATGAAGGGTAATAGGATACAGAATCGTAAGCATTTCACTTTTAGTCTACACCCGTTGTATATGAAGCATGTGACAAATAAAATGTGATTTGGTAATATACTGGGATGGGGAGAGAAGTAGTATATACATGTAAATATTGAGGAATTAATTAAATAAAATAACATGTATTATTTCTAGTTTATTTTCATATGGCATAGACTGTGAAAAACACATTAAAAAGACTCAGTGCAGTCAAAAATGGGATTTTCTGTTGTATTATATACAGTACCAGTCAAAAGTTTGGACACACCTACTCATTCAAGGGTTTTTCTTTATTTTTACTATTTTCTACATTGTAGAATAATATTGAAGACATCAAAACTATGAAATAACACATATGGTGAAAAACAAATGATAGTCCAACTAAGCCCAAACCAGATGTGATGGCGTATCACAGTGTCACCAGCAAAGCACCCCCACACCATAACACCTCCTCCTCCATGCTTTACGGTGGGAAATACACATGCAGAGATCATCCGTTCACCCACACCGCGTCTCACAAAGACATGGCGGTTGGAACCAAAACTCTCCAATTTGGACTCCAGACCAAAGGACACATTTCCAACTGTCTAATGTCCATTTCTCATGTTTCTTGGCCCAAGCAAGTCTCTTCTTGTTATTGGTGTCCTTTAGTGGTTTCTTTGCAGCAATTCGACCATGAAGGCCTGATTCACTCAGTCCCCTCTGAACAGTTGATGTTGAGATGTGTCTGTTACTTAAACTCTGTGAAGCATTTATTTGGGCTGCAATTTCTGAGGCTGATAACTCTAATGATCTTATCCTCTGCAGCAGAGTTAACTCTGCGTCTTCCAATCCTGTGGCGGTCCTCATGAGAGCCAGTTTCATCATAGCGCTTGATGGTTTTTGCGACTGCACTTGAAGAAACTTTCAAAGTTCTTGAAATGTTCCGGATTGACTGACCTTCATGTCTTAAAGGAATGATGGACTGTCGTTTCTCTTTGCTTATTTGAGCTGTCCTTGCCATAATATGGACTTGTTTTTTTTTACCAAGTAGGGCTATCTTCTGTATACCCCCCCTACCTTGTCCCCCCCTACCTGATTGGCTCAAACACATTAAGAAGGAAATAAATTCCACAAATTAACTTTTAAGAAGGCACACCTGTTAATTGAAATGCATTCCAAGTGACTACCACATGAAGCTGGTTGAGAGAATGCCAAGAGTGTGCAAAGCAGTCATCAAGGCAAAGGGAGGCTATTTGGTTACTACATGATTCCATGTGTAATTTCATAGTTTTCATGTCTTCACTATTATTCCTCAATGTAAATATAATAAAAATAAAGAAAAACCCTTGATTGAGTAGGTGTGTCCAAACTTTTGACTGGTAGTGTATATATTTTCACAACGAGGTTGGAATAATACTGTAAACATTTTTAAATGATGTTAATGCCCTTTTAGTGTAAGAGCTGTTTGAAAAGACCGTCTGA